GTCACCGTTTGATAGTCTATGAATGCTTGGTCGTATTCTGTAACAGAAGATATCCGTACAGATCCCACAAGCGAAAACTCATGCTCAGATAACGACCGCTTTCTAATGCTCGCAGCATTGATAATTTATTGACCTCGTTTAACGCAACGTGAGGCATCCGCCACTGTACTTTAAATAATTCAACTTCAGACTCCGTCATAGGATTTTTTACCAAGCAATTGTCATTGCGCGCTCGTATCAAAATCAATTCGTGGCGAGCGTCGACAATCAGGCGTTTGTGAACTTCGCAAAAGCCCAACAGCATGCTGAGCGGTACGCAAAAATTAAAGTCTTTCCTCCATGTCGGATCTAGAGTTCTATCTAGCATTCAGCGCAATCGAAACTTTATCGTACATCATTGATACGTAATTCTTGAGCGTGCTAGTTATGCTCACGTTTCGGTCAATCTCCACACCGTTGAGTTCATATCGAATTTCATCAAACACGAACGCCACGCAATTATTTACAAACGTCGTTGGCATCTGATCATTTTTCTTTTTCACCGTCAATCTTCCTTTGACGTAGAGAAAATTTTCGCATGGCAACGTGTATAAATCCTGTTGCTGTATGGGTATTCTTATCTCATCACTGTACCCGAATGTTGTAGCGAATGATAGCGAACGGGTTGTATGTGTGAGTCTCAATCTTGACGATGCGTTAAAGATCGGCTCACAGGTAATATTAAATATTCAAGATATCAATCATCTCAAAAATTGCGCATCGCGAATCCCAACAATTGTAAAAATTTAACGTTCGACGCGCTGAGCTTCTTCTTGCTGATGCAGTTGGATGCGAGTGTTATGGAGCAGTGATGTTACCGGCCTTCTAAGAATGCGTTATCTCTCTGCGTGCGCTCCGTTCTGTTCAATACGAGCATCTCACACTCGCGTTATCGCTGTCGCTGTCGCACGTGCAATCTGACAGTGATCTCCTCTCCGCGAAAATTGAGCAATCATCCGTTCTGGTCGACAACGCGTATCGTTAGATCCGTAATGCTCCGTGCGATGATCGGCAGGTAAATGATCTGCGCCGGCCTCTCCGATATCTTATATACTGGCGGCACACTCGGTAAAAATTCGTGTATCGTGTGCACACATTTGCCGTTGCTGTACGCGTTTGCGGTCACGTTACACTCTAGCGGATAACGTTTACGTTCATTATGTTGATCGACTTGTCCGACTCGTGCTATTTTCACGGCCGCAGTATACGTTTCGACGAGAATCCCAGCAGCGATATTGTTGGGCTTGCCCAAGTTTATTCTATATGCACATCTAATCTCGCATCGTGTTGTATAATAGTTTGCGCAGAGCGTAATCGAGTATTCTCCACCCTCACCATTATCGTCACCAGTGTCATTGTGTTGTTGTTGTTGTTGTTGTTGTTGTTATTACAACGGTTTCAAGTGGCACTACTTCAACGGTTTCAAGCGCGTCGCGGTGCGGACATTTTTGTAAAATCGTACATTTCAAAAATTCATTTATGTCTCGCTCTTCGTACAAATCCTCGGGAATTATAATTTTTGCATCGTCTTTGCCAAAATAAAATTTATTGTTCGATTCGTTTACATTCGGTATTGTGTGATAAATCTCAAAAATCGCCAGACCGAGCTTGTAATCGCCGTCACTCAAATCTATGGAGGGAAAGTATGAGTTCGCCGCGAGGACGGTACTCTTCTCGCTTAGCGTAAGTGTCAGCGACATGACGGAAAAAGCGTTCGACTAATACTGAAATTTCACAGCACCTCGTCAAGCTTTTTAAATTCACGCACGTCTACTTGTAGAAATCGCAGACACATCTGTCCGCAGAAGCTCTGATTGTACGTCTGATAGGATGTGCGATTATACTCTATCGTCGTAGCACCGTTCCCGAAATATCGCATTAGTTTCTTGGGCGGTCAAAGATTACCGAAACTGTCAAAGTATACGACGCGGTTGTTCCTCTTCGCGTACGCTATCCAGTGAGTACCAGGCCCCGTCGCATCGTCCAAATTCACGATACCGCTTTCGTTTCGGCATGCGCCGCTCATCGGTAAAGTGTTACGCATGAAAACACCTTTAAAGTACGGTACGCGTATACATCTCGCAAGCACGTCCAATTGCGTTGGTTGTTGCACCCGAGGGCATTTTTATCTTTGGCGTATTTTTTTTTTCTTCGCTGCTACACCTTGTCCGCATTTATAAAAGCTGAGATACAGTCCGCGTTCGTATTTGTACGGAGCGAGATACAGTCCGCGGCCCTATTCCATCGCGCGATCGTGACGTTGCAGCTCCTCGAGCTGATGTCGCGCAGCTTTGCTATCATTTATCGCTTTCGTCATACTAGCCGTTCCGCCAATCAAGGACTCGAGCGCGCCCAACATTGGCTGAAAAGATAACCGCCTCGCCTTTTGCCATTGGAAGTATTTTCATTGTTTTTTTCCTCGTTGTCATTTTCAATTTCATGCCCATACCGATCTTGGTCTTTGCTTTCATCGCTGCCCAAACGGCAGCAGCTCTCTCGCTCATAACCGAATTTCTCGCAAAGGTGACGTTTCCGTGCCTTCTCGGCTAGTAAATTGTCTGCCGCGTGTCTATCGTGAGATCGTTGCTCCGAGAATACGCAATGTCGTGTACTCGGCACGCCGCGTCCAACGGATTTATGCCCCCGTTACCTCTGGCTAATCGCTTCATAAGCCGAATGTCCGGGCCACAAAACTGGTAGCCCGGAATATGTAACTCGAAAGGAAGCGCGTTTATCGCTCGATTCAACAGATTGCCGCCCGACGCTGACATTCGCTACAGTCTTTTATCTTAGGTGCGGGACTGTCGATGTGCGTCCCTTGCCACGGCTGATTGTAGTGCTCGTCGCAGCAATACGTTCGAACCTCCGAATCCGTGTTCCGGAAGCTTGTACCACAGGTAGTCGATATAGTCACCGTACACGCGTAAAAGTACGACCTTCGGTATATACTGCAGTTGCTCAGCTTAAGTCTTGAATATCGAAAGGATGATACAGCGCGAGATACATTTTGCTACTATGCGACTTGTAGATTCGTGCGCCTTTAAATAGTCGTTCGAAAGTGCGTAGCCTTTAGTGTGAGCATGAAATTCGTGCTGCAACTGCTGATAATACGCGTCACGAACTGCGACGCGAAATCGCGAATGATGGGAGGCAGCGTGGAGAAGTGCAAGAACGGCGAAATGCTGCCGAGTACTATACGCGCGATCATTTGCGGCCCGTCGAATTGTGATAAAACCAACGTTCTCATAAGTTTACTCGAGAGCCCGAATGGTGTACGTTTCGAGAACGTGTACGTCTATTCGAAATCGTTACAAGAGCCAAAGTATCGTTATCTCGAAAATTTGTTTACGTCTATCGATGAAATCGGCTACTTTACGTTCTCCAACAACAGTGACATTGTTCTACCGAGCGAGGCGCATCCAAATTTTATTTTTATCTTTGATGACGTGGCATACAGGATACGGTGAGAGAATACTTTTCAATGGGTTGCCACGCGAACATCGACTGCTTCTATCTCTGTCAGACATACGCGAAGATGCCTAAACATCTGATACGCGACAACGCGAACCTTCTGATCCTGTTCAAACAGGATGGTATCAACTTGAAACATGTTTACAACGATCATGTGAATACCGACATCATACGACGAATTTTGCACGTTGTGCCGCGACTGGCAGCAAAACTATGGATTTCTAGTTATAGATAAAGAGTGTGCTCAGAAATGGATGATACAGAAAAGGATTTAACATGGCAGATGTTCGCGAACGTGAAAAAATCGCGAGGGAGATCGAGAAGACGAGCTAGTCCGCAAGAAACATCGCGCTCTGAAGACCGATAGAATTGAGGAGGGCATCGCATTGGATAGACATTTTAAATCTCTTATCGAGCCGCTACGATTTTTCGTCGACATCCCGGGCGTGTGCGCGACAAAGAGAGAATCGCGCGACGAAGAGCAGCCTCTAAACATGAAAGGAAAGAAGAAGAGGAACAAGAGGAGGGAGAAGAAGCGAACGAGACGTTCGAGCATTCCACGACTCTGCATAAATCCAATGATCAATCGCACGATAGTGTACAACCGATAACCTCCACACTGCGTAAATCCAAAATCGTACCACCGATAGAATCATTTTTCGAAACGGAAGACTCGCTAGTGACGAAGGTTCACAATCAGCTGCAAACATCGAAAGGTCGAGATACGTTACGAGCCGTCTTGGGCCCGCTGAATCAAAAGGCGTCGAGACTGTTCTAAGCGGAGTGCAAGATAAAGAGAGCGGTATAGATCACGTGTACGGCGTTTACCTACACAAGGATGGGCTGATGTTTGGCAATAAACGTTTCGACGTGGATGACGCGAACAGTATAATTACCGACGGCGTACGATACGCTGGTACACCTGGTCTTTACGAATTGATTTTCAAGAGAATTCCCAACGATGCCCTCTACACGGAAAACGATATACACAAGTATAAGAGCATGCTGTTGATGACGAACGCGCACAAACACAAATACCATTCGCAGGGTCGATTATTGAGCAACAGGGGATATAAGTACAAACACGTAATCGCGCCGTTGATGTTGATCACACTTAAGAAACAGAAGAAGAAATCTGGAAAAGGATTACCTCATGTAATGACACTGAACGATAACGCGATCGATTACGTGCACTGGATGATCTTAACGAACTGATGGATCGTCTCGTACGATTGCTTGACGCTTCGCACTGAGCAGGCAACAACGTTCACGATAACGAGATGCTGTCATCGAGGAACTTCGCGAAACTGATCTTATAATAAATTAAATCCATGAAACGAATCAGTCGAGAAAAGATACATTATTTTATTGTACCCTGTTTATTACGCGTCGAATGAAAAAGAAATCTGAGAAAAAGAGAGAAAAAATTAGCTCCGAGAGACGTCGACATCGTCTCGTGTCAGATTACAACACGCGCAAGCACCATCGGCATGCGACCTGTCGACGTAACTTCCGCGATCGTCAAAAAACTCTTGGACACGGTGTATAGCGCGCTAAAAATTGCGGATCCTGTAAAATTCAAACTATCGGTAAACGTGAGCGATTCGGTAAGCGTGAGCAAATACAAGACGATTTTTGAGAAGGGTTACACGCCAAATTGGACCACCGAGGAGTTTACAATCGTTAAGATGCAACATACCAATCCTGTAACCTATTTACTGGAGGATTATCGCGGAAAATGCGTCGCTGGAGCGTTCTACGAGCATGAGTTGCATCACGCTACTCATCCGGACGTGTGTCTCGTGGAGAAAGTACTGCGCAGGAAGGGAGACAAGGTGTACATTAAATGGCTGAGATTCGGTGGATCGCACAATTCAAGGATACATAAAAACAATGTTATTTGATAAAATTTTGATTCATATATTTTATTTCTAAAAAATATATCAATATAAGTATATGAACGTATATTTTTATTACTTTCCATTCGTCTTCGTTTTGCAGTATACAGATATAAAATACGTATTAAATGTACGATACATGAAATGAAAATAATAGTAATACATAATAAATAATACTATTTAAAACATAATAATAATACTTATATAAATGTAAAAAATATGCATTACGTGTAAATTATAATGATAATATTACATAATAGTAACATGTATACTGTATGAAAATATTTAAAAATGTAAAAAAATATACACGAAGTTCAAATTAAGATAATACATAAAGCATAATAGTAATACATATACTGTATGAAAATATAAAAATGTAAAACACATAATAATAATATAAATGATGATACATATATATACAATATATATATTCGCCAATATATATATGCCCCTACGGTAACGTCTCCGTCGAGTTCGGTGCGACGTATCATTTGGACTCAGAGCGATTTTCGATTCGGATATCGTGCATACCTTGTGCAATTTAGATCGTATATACAATTGACGATGAATCATTTCGATCTCTTCATTTAAACACCGCGTGTAATCGCCGAACATTATCGTTCGCGCTATGATGTTCTCTCTATGCCTTTCGCCTTTTTAGTTTCTTTCTTGCTGTTCACTCTCTCCGCGGACATCTTCGCTCTGAGACCAATGAATTCGATCATTATCGCACCGTTATTTTCATCCTTCATCAGATCGGATACTTTTTTGTTCGCTAGAGGCATACCGTGCGCGTTGTCTATCGGATAATCGCTCGTGTCGAATCTAGCGATATCACGTTTCATAGTCACGTAAACGTCCTCACTCGACGCAGTATATAAGACTGTCCGTGTCGATGTACATAATTTTACATTTGTCACGAAACAGTGGTTACATATACTCGTGGTGAAATTCCTACAAGCAGACTTTCGATATATCGAGTATATACTACATGGGCTGAAAAGTGGGATTTTTAATGAAAACAAGCGTTTTTTGTGCAAAGTTATATTTATTCCTCAACATAGTTGCCTTCGAGGGCGATACACTGGTATAGCGATTTTCCAACATTTAGATGCCCTTTCACGAAACGTCCAAGCCTTCGAAATACGCCTTGGTTTCCGCGATGACTTCCTCATTCGATGTGAATCTCTTTCCCGTTTCCCTGGAACCACTGCTTGAGGTTTGGGAACAGATAATAGTTGCTGGGGGCCAAGTCTGGAGAATGTATAATACGGTGGGTGAGCAACCAATTCGAATCGTAATTGGTCCAATTTAACCATCGCTTTCAAGGACGTGTGTGACGATGCGTTATCGTGATGGTACAGAACTTTTTTCTTCGCTATATGGGGCCGTTTTTTTCTTTATTTCGTTCAGTTTGTCCAATAAAGCTGCATAATACTCTCCCGTAATTGTTCTTCTCTTCTGCAGGTAATCGATGAAGATTATCCACGCGCATCCCAAAAAACAGAGACCATAATCTTCCCGACCGAGTGTTGGTCTTTTGGCCGCTTTGGTCGGCTTTCGTGGCTTTTCAGCCACTCTGAAAACTGCCTATTGGATTCAGGCGTATGGTAATGGACCCACGTTTCATCCATCGTCACAAAACATCGAAAAAAGTCCGCTCGATTACACTCCAACAACGCCAAACCGACCGTTAAATCATCAACGCGCTGCTGTTTTTGGTCGATGGTCAGCAAACGCGGCACCCATCGTGCCGATAGCTTTTTCATCTCCAAAACATCGTGCAAAATGTATTCCGCCCATTCTTTTGAGATGTCCACGGCCTCAGTTAACTCGCGCAACTTCACTTTACAATCACTCAAAACGATTCGATGCACTTGCTTTGCGATTTCCGCATTCGTAGCCTCTTTTGGCCTTCCAGAGCGAGGTGCGTCTTCGGTGTTTGTATGACCTATTTTAAATTCATTAAACCACCGATAAACTGTTGTTCTCGAAGGAGCAGATGTGGGATAACATTTCTGCAACCATTTCAATGATTGTTCAGAAGTTTTTCCCATCAAAAAACAATGTATGATCAAGATGCGATATTCTTGTTTTTCCATTTTTTTTACGAAGGCGAAAGTAACGCCACTTAAACGACTGTAGCTTGTAAACGAATGAACGGAATGTCATGAAACTTCATACATAAACTAGTGACAGATGAATCTCTCGAAATGAATCATGTTCATTTTCTAGTGGCACCACCTATTGAAAAATCCCGGGACTTTTCAGCCCATGTAGTACGTACTCATGTAAATCGGCTTGTTGAACTTCACCTCGAGTTTGCGCGGTTCGACGGTGATCAAATTTTCGCAAAGACGCTACGGCTGTAGAAATTCGGTTTTGCGATCATTGCTTCCGCGCCGTACCGTCCATCCTATTTTGTTAATTTAACGTGGTTGCGTACATTCTCCATAGTTTTATCAAATACCGCGTTGTTTAGTAATTTATATAAATTTTTCTCGAAATCATTTTTAGCGCGAGTTCTGAAATTTGTATTGAGTTCAATATAATCGTGAAGCCGTGGAAATTGCGCGAATTGTAGTACTCGACGAATCTTTGTTACGAAGACCATGACATTGCTGCAGATTGCATAGTGAATGACGTAACTGTTTATCGTACAGCGTCGATAGAAGTTTAGCCTCATGTTTGCCGGGCGGCTTATCATGCGTAAAACAGAACGGCAGATCAGTGTGTTGGTCGTAGATGTTGTGAATACTCGAGATTGACTTCGAGAATGTAACTGGTGGGTGAATCCAGAGCGATCGCGCTCACATCAAAGTTCACAGCGTCTTCGACTCATCGAAATTCGGCGTATGGCAATGGTTGACACATCGCCTATCTTATAAATTGTTAACATCATAGTACATCAAGTATGACGATGGTTTCGATGAGTCGTATTAATGCATGTACTTGTTATTAGCCTGTGCATATCTGCTTGAACATTGATTAAGGCTGCCGCATATACCGCGCTCGATAAACATGATCATATCGATGTAGGTGAGTAATTCATTTTATGTGCGTATGTTTTAGCATTGCGTCCTACACGAAACCAGGCAATGTATAGTAATTCGCGGGATTGAGACCGTAACTCACAACACAACTTTCGCGAAAATTTTCGAAAATGTCGGCTAATAACAAGACATCGGTTTTCAAGTATAGATCACTCGCCGAGCGTTCGAATGGAGACGATCGCTTCCAGACGTTCGCAGTGTGAGCGTAATCACTCTCGGATACTGTATCGCTTGTCAACAAACTGAAAAATGATTCGCATGGTGGTAAGCGCATGTCCCGCAATTTTTCGATGTAGTCAACATCGTGTATTCGTACGGAAAGACATCTTTACGAGTCAATAATTCAAATTTTTCATTCGATAATGTTGTAAATTTAGAACGTACGATTTTTAATTTGTCTCTGCTTAGAAACGACGCCAATTTATCGAGGCTTGTGAGAAATTTAAATGAATCAATGAATCGTAATTTTATGCATTTTCACGAGTCTGCTCTCTCGGCGGTATCTTTAACATGTTTAGTGAACGAAATATATTTTTCTTTGGTTATCGGTAACACATCTACATGTCCTTCGTACGCCGTAGCAATTTCTTTAATTATAAAGTGTGCGTCGTAGCTCGATAAATTGTGAAGAACGATCGGAATATAAAACGAATTTTTATAATTAATATTGCAATTTTTTTTGCATGCGCTGAACCACGATATCTATCGGTGAGATGGCAATGATCGCGGATCCGCGTATCGTCCGGCGCGAACGGTTTCTCGCAAATGTGACAACGTGTCGCGTATGCCTCCCATTGTTCTTTCGACAATGTTTCCATGGACACGTTGGCAGATACGATATTTTTCACTCGATGCGACAAATCATTGAATTGTCGCGCGAACCACGCTATACAGTCTTCATTGCGACGAAACCGATATAACGATAACGCGTCGTCGTACGAACATCGCACGTAATATCCTATATTAAATATCTCGTGCCGTTGATACATGTACGACGACGCATCTTCCTATCGGGTTCTATCTTTCGTAGAACGCACTCCAAGTCAACATAGACGATGAATGGGACGCGCTCTTTATTGCAGTGATTCCCAAATTCGAGCCGTTCACTCTCGGCAATCGGATAGCGAAGTCGTTGATCTTCTGGCAGTCCATTACGTGCGACTGCAATTTTTCGTTCGTACTAAAGTAGTACAAGCACATAAAAAAAAACACAAAATTATAACTATTACCATTATTTTATTAGTAATATGGAAAATTATATTAAAATAATTTTTTTATGTGTATTTACCGATCGCAAAAAAATTTCTTGTTCTTTTTCTCACTAATCTGCTCACGAAACGGGATAGATTTTTTATCCACGCAAAATGCCCAATACCGTCGTTGCGTGGATCTTGCACGTACAGCACGTTGACGTGTTTCTCCTTCTTTTCATTGATGAGCCGTAGAGGAAAGACCTGTTTATTCTCGATGCCGTACATCGACACAGCATTCAACTGTTCGAATTTAGAAATGTCTTTTAAAGTCATTGAAAATTCGATACCTGCGAAATTTAATACTGTCGTATAATGCGGATACGACGATTCCCGATCCGTATACTTTTCAGCCAGGTACAGCGCGATGATCACCGACCACGCAAAGCACGTCTTGTCCGTTGTATGCACACTGATCATCGCTCGTTTCGTTGCTATTTCTCGTGGAACTTTGATATGACAACCCGCGCATGGGATTTAATTTGTACACATTGATAGTCAAATTCAATATACGTGACAATGCCCACCCGCTGTTGCATTCCTGAAACTCTTCGAGCGACGTCAACGTGGCTTATATTTTGATGATGAGGAACACGATTTTGATGCTTTTTCACCAGGACATTCCCAATATCTCGCTTTTTTCCTTGATGGTGAACTTGGCGGACTTGGTAACAAGAGACAGTACCCCTTGCGCTCATTCGAT